GACAAGAGCCTCTTTAGAGGTTTGTCTGCCTCCCAGAAAACATTCCATTCTAGAAGTCCTCGTGCAAATCACACTTTTCAGAAATCAAACTCATAACTTGCATAGTATAGATTTAGGGAAAGAATTCTAGTCACTGGACAATGGAGCGGAGCCAGCCTGCAAAGTCAGTTCTTTTCTTTGCCTTATCACTTCAGCACTATGTGCTCCAGCTGCCCAAGGCAAAAGAAGGGACAAGAGCAATGTTGGGGGTGCAGTCTTGGAAGGGCATGATATGAGCTACACAGAAGGTGCAAGAGTTGGTGCTGCCCAGTGGGGAGGGAGAGACCTGGACGTTCACCTGGAAGCGAAGGCCAGTCGAGTTGCCCCCTGAACCTGCTTACACTCGGTTCTGGCTGAAGCCTTGGAATTCTGCTGCTCCTCCCGGCCCCAGCTTGCTAAAACCCTTTCTGGACTCAGCAGTGGTCTACTGTCAAGTTACCGTGCTGTCATGGCACCGCTCACTGCTCAATAAAGATACTTTTTCCTTTAAACCACTGCTCTGGGTGGAGAAAGGGACGAGCAGTGTCCTGCTGAAATCCATGCCCACCTGGAGACTGTGACTATGGTGCTGCTCAGAAAGTGGTCTTTGCAGATGCTATACAGTTAGGGGAAGGGTCTCCTGTCAGCTGGGACTCCAAGTCCAGTACCTCATGTTTCTTTAAGAGGAGGGGGAATAGGGCACAGACACACATGCACATGGAGATGAGATAGGCTTGTGACTGCTGGGGCAGGAAACAGGTGAAGTGGCAAGAACTCGAAGGTCTGAGACCAACACTGGACACTGGGGAGAGACTTGGAACAGACTCCCCCGCAGCCTCTAGGCAGACACTCTCTCGTGAGCTTGTTCCTGAGCACAGAGGGCATAGCCCTGGTACTTGAAGTTGCCCGGTTTGCTGCACTCTTTCACCAACAGCCAGGAGACGTGAGTGTGGCCTTTCTCATCTGCCACATCACACCTGCCCTCTGTGGCTGGAACTCACTCATCATCCATAGATAACAAACCCCAGCATCCAATCCTCATCCAAAAGTGTGGGAGGAAAGGAAGATGTTTTGCCTTTTTCCCCCTAATGTGTTACAAGTTCCTGGGCCACAGTTTAAGAGAGGCAATCCGTCTAGATGAGGAGATGTCATCTGGGGGAAATGCATTCACATTGAACTTTAGTTCTACATTCCCAGAAGTTTTAAAGGCAGGTGCTGCTACTTCTGCATGTACTCTGCTAGCTACAAGTGGCAAAGATGAGCTGAACACTGAGTTTTTCAGAATGCTAATCCTGGGACACGCAGTGATTGTTCGAGGAAGAGTTGTGTCTGATAGATGCTGCCCTGAGACACGCGAGGCCAGCCGATCATACACGAGGCTCCCCAGAAGTCAATTTCTTCTCTCTCACTCTGCCTGGTATTATTCTGCCAATGGTGAACATCTCTTCACTGTGTTCACACAGAAGTGGTACCCACAAGTTGGAAAAGGGTGTGGTAATGGCAGCTTCACGGTCAAAAGAGTGAATGATGCCAAGTTGAACAGGTTTCTTTAGGAGCTTGGATCGGCCTTCCCAGAGGCCTTGAATTATGCCCAGAACTCCCCGCAGAACTGGGCAGATTAAAAATAAGATCTTTGTGAATCAGAAGAGCCATTACTTTTTGAGGGACACGTTTTAACTTACGTACAAGGAATAGATTTCAGGCCCGGCGCGATGGCGCAGTGGTTAAGGTCCTCGCCTTGCACGCCCGGGGTCCCATATGGGCACTCGTTCTAATCCTGGCAGCCCTGCTTCCCATCCTGCTTCCTGCCTGTGGCCTGGGAAAGCAGTCGAGGACAGCCCAAAGCTTTGGGACCCTGCACCCGCGTGGGAAACCCGGAAGAGGCTCCTGGCTTCGGATCGGCATAGCATCAGTCGTTGCGCTGACTTGGGGAGTGAATCATCAGATGGAAGATCTTCCTCTCTGTCTCTCCTCCTCTCTGCATATCTGCCTTTCCAATAAAAATAAAATAAATCTTTAAAAAAAAGAATAGATTTCATACATAACAGTTCTAAGAGCTTAATGATTCTTCCCATCTGACCATCCCTCCCTGTCTCCTCCTTCCGTCCTAATTTTCTTTGATCAGAAATACTTTTCCTAAGTTCTGATCGTGATGTGTCTCAGATAATCCTGCACCTCTTATTCACTTCAGAACTTTTTCTCTAGGGGTCGGCATTATGGTGTAGCAGCTCGAGCCACAACCTGCAGCATCAGTATCCTATATGGGTCCTGGTTTGAGCAGTGGCTATTCCACTGCTGACCCAGTTCCCTAATAATGTGACTGGCACACAGTGGAAGATGGCCTAAATACCTGGGCCCCTGTATACACATGGGAGACCCTGAAGAAGCTCCTGGCTTTGGCCTGGCTGAGCCCTCACCGATGTGACTATATGGGGAATAAACCAGTAGATGAAGATCTCCTTTTCTCTCTGTCCTTTCCTCTGTCTAACTTACCCTATCACATAAATATTTAAAGAAAAAAAAACTTTACTCTAGTAATTTTAGAAATATTTCCTACCGATGTCAAGAATTCATTGACAAACCCTCTAAAATATTGCAGGGGCTGTAAGCACAGAAAAAAAAAATGAATTGCTTTCACAACAGGGATGGCATATGATAAGGAAAATAGCCTATCCTCAGATTTACTAGTATGTTAACTTGGGCAAAGTATGAGCCTCTAAGATTCATGGGATTGCAAAGATCACATGTACACGTGGAAAGCCTTACCATGTCACCCGGTGTAGGCTAAGTGGTTAATGACGGGAAGCATCTATTACTGTACAAATGTCCTCAAGAAGCTGTGATTCTGATGGCAAGAGGATCCTTACACATGAGAAGTGATATCTCTCATAGTGAATGGCAGGTTCCACAGGTTGGTAAAAATGAAAGAATCCATATTTGGGGGCACTGAGTGACGTACACTTTGGATACTCGGTTGAGGCAGATGAAAGCTCTGAGGATGCTCCCTGCTCCATCACACCATTCACAATGTTCTTCGTCTTGCTCGCTGAGCGGAAGCAACCCCAGGTGAACATGCACAGTGGTGAACAGCTCTGAATGGACTTGGGTTCAATTCATTGAGCAGGGCCGAGTATGATGAGATTCTACTTCAAGAAGGTCATCTTGCATGAGGACGAACCTCCTACTACAGGACATTGTCCCAAGACGATATGACACATGGGGCATTCTCCCTTGGGCTGTATGGCTCTTCGTGGGTATGACATGGGGGAAATTCAACCATCCCTTGAGTAGTGGGTCCTCAAAACCACTCTCATGCCAACATTTAATGATCCTATGCAATGATCAAAGTTTGGACAGAGCAACACGAAGATCCATTTTACTTCTTTTCGAAAAGCAAAGACACGAGCAAATTTAGAAACTGGAGATGGTCACATCATATTTTAAATCTTGACTTTTTCCTTGCTGACCTGAGTTCATCAAGGTACTCTCAGATACTCACCTGCTTTGCCCATAACATGGGGAATTGATACTTGAATATTAATGTGATCAAAGATGATCCTCAGTATCTATTAAATTGGTTCCTGGGTCCCACAAGGACACCAAAATCCACAAATGCTCAATTTCCTTACATAAAGTGGCATATTTGCACATAACCTCAATTATTCTCCTACATACCATAAATTATGTTCTTATTACTTATAATACTTCATGCAATGCAAATTGTTGTTTTATTGTATTCCTTATGGAATACAACGCAACAAAAAGTCTCAAGGATAGTGCTGTGGTCTAGTGGGTAACACAACACTGGCATCCCACACAGGTACTGATTCATGTGCAAGTTGCTCCATGTCCAGTCCAGCATTTGTGCCTGGGAAAAACAGTGGAACATAGCCCTAGTACTTGGAGCACTGACACACACTTCTGCAAAAAGCTTCTTGTTCAGTCAGGCTCAGCTTTGGCCATTGCGGCCAAGTTTCTCCTCCTCTCCATGACACATTGGCTTTTTAAAGATGTTCAGCACATACACGGGTGTCTTCTAGTGTCTTGATTCAAAATCCACTGACTCTGAGGATGCAGCAACTCAAGGATATGGAACGCCAACATTAGGCAAGGGAGCCAGCCTCACAGGTGTTCCATGAGTCCCCATCTTCTCCCTTACTTTTACAGAAAACCCCTGCCAAAAACTTCCTCAAGGGAGGAGAGAGGCACATTTCCTTCTGTTAGGTAGGGAGGGTAAGGAGAGGACTGGGTGGACAGGTTGGAAATGGAACATAGGCTACTGGGAATAGAATCCATCAGCACAAGTGAAGGCAGTGACCCTGCATGCCCGACACACAATAGGAGCTTACTCCCATTCGCTGCTGTTGCTGCAAGGAGCATGTCCTCCAGCAGGCAACCCATAGGGCCACGTCACATGGATACTGACTGAGGAGGGGATAACACAGGAAGTAGAAAAGGGAGGATCCATTTGCCCTCCTTGGGTCAATCTTGACAGCTAATGTTCAGCCTGATTTTCAGCGTCTGTGCTTCGGTCTGGGTGATTCCAGATCGTACTGAATGTGCTGGTGACCCAGGCCTGGTTTTGCCAACCAATTACACAGAATCCACAAAAAAGACAAACTGTGAGCTGGGAACCACTTAGTATCCTCACAACAACAAAACAATCAATTTAGAGCTCCTGTGGGATAAAATATATAAATAGTTTAAACCTTTGTGGATTTTACTTCTTTATATCTTATAAACTAAAACTGTACAATGCTGAAAACATAAGACTTCTAAAATAGTCATCTCTCAAAAGAAATTTTTCATACCCAGGTTTTGGGGGACAAAGTGGACCATAAAAGTTAGAAATTCTGATATCAAATAGCATTTAACGCATACCTCTAAGCAAATGTGAACCAACTTAAAATCACAGCATGATTCATAGCCAACTTATTAAAAACTCACTGTTAGAAAAAAAAAACTTCATAAAAGAGATTCACCTGCCAGAAGTCGGCCACGGTAGCGGGAAGTGGTCCTTGGGTGGCGATGTAGGCAGGATTCCTTGGGTCATGATCCATCTGCAAGACAATAAGAGCCCACAGGGTGAAGGCGCATTGTGGCTCAGGAGATGCAGATCCTGCTCTGCATGCTGTATCAGCAGCACACAGCTCCTGCGAGATGACCCCAGGACCCTTCTGTTTCATCAGCTTCACGAACGCAAGCCAGTGCCCAAGCACAGGCAGGGCCTTGGCAGAATCTTGAGCCTGGGCACTCGCATCCCAAGTGCTTTCTTACACCAGACATGCAAGTCTGAGGAGCAGCTTCAATTGGAGCAAAGGCCAGGATCCCGATGAGAAGAGAGCAAAGCATCAGACCACCTAAGAGGCCGGGCAGCCTTGGCCACTCGGACAGTGTATTCAAGGATGCAAGTGATTCCAGAAAAGCTCAGCCGTGCACTGGCCTGCACAACTCCCACGCCATCCTAGGGTCTGAGCTGTGCTTGGGACTGTGGGCACTGGCCTTGGGAAGCATCAAACCTCAGCTGTTAGCAGAAAGTGAAGGCCCTATGGACACACATGCCTCCTGGATCCCCAACAGCAAGCTAGTGGCACAGGAGGGCCTGTGTTTGCCTTTCAGAAAGCAGGAGCTCGGGCAAAGGCTATGTCTGGGGTCTGAGCGAGGCCAAGGTGGCAGAAACTTCACAGGAACTCATTTCCTATTCTAACAAAGAATGCAACTGGGAACCTTCTGGCCCGTTGATTTATGTGCAGGCATCCTACTAACTCTAACTTGGGGAATATGGCTTCAAGGGTCTTAATTACAACGCGTACTTTGAAGAATGGCTATGTAGACAAACGCTGAAAAGGAACATGATGGAAAACACTGCGGTGTGGCGGGTCAAGGCACTCCTTAGGGACACTTACATCCCATAATGGAATCCCTGGGATTGAGTCCCCCCTCAACTTCCAATCCAGCTCCCTGCTAACACACATGCTGGGAACAAGCAGCTATTGGTTCAAGGACTTGGGTCCCTGCCACCTGCATGGCAGATCCAGGGGGAGCTCCTGGCTTCAGGCTCGCTCGGCCTTGGGTGTTGCTGGCATTTGGGGAATGAATCAGTGGACTTAAATTCTCCTCTTTCTCTCTCTGCTGTTCTGCCTTTCAAACAATTGAAAAGTGTGTGGGGGGAATGAGAACAAACAAGAAATGAACAATATTAAAAGCACATCGAAGAAGACAGTCAGACCAACACTGTCTCCCACTGACAGGTCTGGGCCATCACTCACATCCCCAAGACTGTCCAGGTGCCCTCCCTACACCCCAGGAGACAGCACGAGGAAGCATCTTACCTTCCGATAAGACAGCTGTGTGTTTGTCAGGTCTACAGCCTCACATGTCTAGGACTAAAATTTACTCTTTTGAGGTCAGGGCATGATGTAAGATTTCAAATGCTCGGTATTTACAGATCATGATTAAGGTTCCATTTCTTAACAGCCCCCCAAAATGAGAACGTTTGAACCATACGTGATTCTAAGCTGCCACAGGAGGACATTGTTGGGAACTCATGGTGCCACCCTACAGCTTGGTTCTGCCTGCGGGTTGGAGGAAGAGTCGGCTCGAGGCAGGAATTCTCCACCAGTGACCCCGGGAATCTGTGCACAACCCAGCAGCATTCTCTAGGATGATGACTCTCAGTATAAAAGAATGCACCGAATGCACCTTATAATTATGTGCGCCATAAAAGAGGGAAGGCACATAAAGGAACAGATGTAAGTTATTCTAACAGAACAACAAAATGACGCTAGCTGGGGGCTGGGGGCGGGGGGGGTGGTTCAGCAAAAAAATAAATAAATAAATAAAAATAAAAAAGCTTTTCGTGCATCTAATTTAGTGGTTCATAATTAAAACTGGACCTCGTTTTGAAATCTACCACAACACATACAACACAGGTAAAATGATGTTACACTCACTGAAAGCCCCAATTAAAATGTTTCGGTGGAAAAGTGCTTAGCAGAAATAAGTTTTGATTTTTTTGAAATCTGCATTTGTTGGGGGTGACAGCTATTTACAGAACGCCGTCTGTGCGGCATAGGGAGAGCGCCACCGCCCTCTCTCCACTGTGCTTTTTCTCCTAAGCAGTTTGGACCGCGACACATCTTAAACAACTGCTGGCATATTCAAACTCTCACCTTGGGGCTGCTTTCAGAATGTGTCATACGCGAACTGAAGTTGTAGAGAGAATTTTGGGAAGGGATCAGCCAGGCAGCTTTTGGGGGTAGGTTTTCATTGTGCTATGTTTCAAATGTCGATCAACTCATGAGCTTACTCAAGTGTCCCGGATGGAGGCCAGGAAGGCAGGAGAAGCTGGGGGAAATAGTGGCAGCATCCGTAGTGAGTTCAGGGCACGCCCTCACAACTCCCTCCAGCTCCACGGCTGTCACGTGGCTGCCACTGGGAAAGCAGCAAATAGCACACTGATCGCAGGGTTGGGAGATGTGTCATCAGTTTCACAATAATTCAGAAGACAATCACAATTATTTCATTCTATGCACATTCAGTCGAACAGAAAATAATTCTGGGCAGAAGGGTTTGGGGTAGCGAGAAAACGTAAGAGAACAGAAAGCTGTACCACGCCGTCTTTACCGAGTAAAAGTGAAGCAGTTTGGTAACAGTTAGGATTTTCAAGGCAGGATAAGTGTACATGGGTGATTCAAAAAGTTCAGGGAAAACGGAATCCAAAGGTTACTTTATTCTGATGCAAACACACACAAAGAAGGAAACCCCGGCATCATTTATTTTATCTGTATTTTTACAAAATATATTTCCATGGACTTTTTTGAGGATGCTTCACTCTGGAGGAAACCACGTAAGTTTCTAGAAACACTGGGTTCTCCAACAAGAGGATGCAATCGACAAACCCAACATGGCAGACGCGTGTCTTCATCCGTCTCCCCCAGCCTGGTGACAAGCGCTCGGACTTACTCTGCTCTTGTGCCTGACTGTGCCCTCCTGCTTTCTCCTTAATTTCCATGTCTTTGTAATACGCTTTTCCGTTGTGTGAATGTTTTAGTTTCAGGCACGCACAGCACGACCACAGAAAATGTCAGTTAAGGTCTGTGGGCTCAGTCTCAAAGTCTTGAACATGAGGGTTGTTGGGGAGCAGGAAGTTTGCACAATGTGTCCTCTAAGTGCCCCTGTGCTCCTGAGCTCTGGAATTCTATGTGCATATATGTGTAGGTAGACTCGTGTGTGTGTGTGTGTGTGTGTGTGTGTGTGTGTGTGTGCGCGCGCCTGCCTTGATGTTTCGGTTGTCATCCTGAAAGCCTGTGTATTTTATTAAGTGGAACACTGGGCTGCCGGTGGCCTGCGCACTGCTAGGACCAGGCTGTCCTCTCCTTCGTGAACTCTGAAGTTGCTGAGCATCAAATTTATGTGCTTCCCCCTGTGGGTGAGCAGTGGAGGCACTGGAAGGGATAAGGCTGCAGTATAACCCTTGGTCCCCCAGTGCTGACTTCTGCAGTAACACAATCTGTTGGGAGAAGTGCCATCACAAGTGCCACTGTGTGATTTGATGCAAATCGATGGTCAGAGGGCGCAAGGGTCTAACGATGATGAAAAGTATAATTCTGCTTTTACTAAGTGGCTTTTTTTTTTTTTCCACAAAGAGAGAAACCAGTTGTTTGTGTTGAATCTATCATCCCTTAGTGGACTGATTTTAGAGAGACATAACAAGAAACTGGATATAAGTAAATTCTTATGTATTTCTAAATGCATGATTAAGAATCAATGAGTGATTTGCTTTAAGCTATTAAACAAGCAGGAGTGACTGGCTCATTCTTTACAAACTCTAATTTGCATTAAAAAACCCCTTAGCAATAATTTCCCCAATGCTCCAAATCAATTGATTCTCAAGGTGAAGCATTCAGCACATTGAGACCACAGGACCTAAAATCCAAAAACCTCGATCAGGCAAGCCCCACGACCCTCCCGGACCCTGCCGATGGGCAGGCGGGCGGAGAGCAGGGTTGCCCAAACCAACCCTGGTTCAGAGAAGCTCTGGCCAACTTCAGGGAAGGGGCTGGGGTCACACTGTGAGGTCATGCATTGTATGTAAGGACTGAATCTAAACCATAAACAAGCACACAGGCTTGGTTGTAAATATTCTTGGGAAAATGATAACATTGGCTCCCCACTATGCCCAGTTTCTTGAGCTTGTCGGCATTTGTGGCTGTCATGTTTTAATGAGAACCCACTCTGTCCCTACTCAGTCGAATGCAGTTTGAATTGAAACCTTGAACAGTGTTTCCTTCCTTCATAAACAGTAGAATGAAGGATTAAGATTATTGTTAAGTGTCATTGGGAATTTCAGACTTGCGCGTTGTGTTTGGGCAAGCTGGTGTGTTGATGACACTGCTCCGTCTGGCATCCTCAGTAATAAACAAGCTGAGTTTTAAATGTAGCCGATGGGTTTCTCAGACACCCCATGCGGGAAAGCAGAACTCCCGTCTCCTTTCATGACCTCTGATTTAAAAGCAAAGATTGCACATTATTTACTATTGGATGACTTCCCTGGAATTTAATGAGCACTAAGTACAAATATGACAGACGTAATTATCATAGTTTTATTCTGCACAGCCAGGGTCTTCTTGTGCTATAATTGTAAGCCTTTCATTCAACGGCTGCTAGGAAGGTCATTATCATTGTGCCTTCAGTTATTTCAGAGAGAAGAGGCTACATGAATTTCCTCTAGTTCATTCTTCCAATCCAAATTTGAAAAAAAAAAAAGAATTGCGGTATGAAATAATGGAAAAATATAAAGGGGGGCTGTAAAATTGCTTCTCTCTCCTGGAGTCACCTTCTGACCCAAGTTCCTGGCTTGCAAAGCCTGGGGAGGTCGTTCTGAATTTGCACGAGTGGTAGGGAGATGTGCAGGCATCCACACCCTCCCCCAATACACACACAGACACACATGCACCCTCTTGGGTCCGTGTTTGCACACTGGCTGCAGATGGTCTCTGCTGATGGCGTGGCTTCTATGTGCAGCATGCTTGCCCACACTGAGTCTTGAATGCTGCTCAGAGCAGCTCAGACATCCGCATGCTGCTCTAAACGCAGAGGGTTCCAGGCCAGGACACTAACTTCCAGTCTCTTAGACTCGAAAATGCTATATTTGTCCTCATTTTGATCTCATAAAATGACTTATTCCAGGGAAAAGTCACTACAACAGGGTTTCCTCAGACACTTTGTAGCTGCCATCAATCATTCTGAAGTGAGAAAACCCAGGCATTTACAAAACATAGCTTCACTAGAAACACTGCTCCATCCATAAAACAAGGCCGCTAAAATCAATGAAGCTTTTTTTTTTTTTAAGTTACTCTTATTGAGAAAGACTAATTGGTCCCAAACAAGAATCTCTGAAATAAATGCAGGCCTGGTTCTTGAAGTCTACCACTGTTGGACGTAACGAAGTGATTTCTTTTGAAGAAGGAGCACATGAACAAAAGGCAAGGCTCCGGTAGGTGCAGGCGAGCTCTTCATTTGGAGTTCACTTGTGCAAAGCTGAGCGTGCTCATTGTGCAGAATGTGAAGTGGCCCACAGCACCTGGGAGCCTTAATAAGCAGCTCTATCCAAAAGGAGCTCTGAAATAAATAGGCTTGTAGTCCAACAAATGGACTACGAGGACAGTGCGCCATCAGGGACTCGCGCTGGCAATCACACACACCAACTACCCTATCCAAAGCTTTCTCTTACGGGGAATGAGAGGGGCCGTGGCATGTGTCTGCTTCTAGAGAAGACCCACTTTCTTAGTCCTCAGCATCACCAGTGACCTTAAGTGCTTCCTCCTGCAGGCATGCTATCTGGCTGAATGCAAATCTGGAACTTTGATGAGATACCCTGATCCTTCCTTGGAGACGAAAACTGAGAAAATCCATTTGAAGTTGGGGGAAAGTCCACCACCACCAACAGTGTAACAGAGCCACATGAAATCTCTTCTTTGTCATTGTTGTTAACATGCCACCAACCATGGTCTCTGAGAGAAGGCCCTGTCCTTTGTCAGTGCGTCTTACTCTCTCCCACCTGCTACCATTCTAACTTGAGAAAGCCTGCCTGAGTCCTCGCAGAACCTGACTTGAGAGCGCCTCGATCACCGACTTCCACCCTGTCTTTGATGACTTTGAGCCAGAACTGACTTTATCCTCTTCTGTTCCCTGCAACTCTATGGCTTGAGACAGGAGAACGGTCATGTGGGTCCAGAATTCAGAAGGTGCTGGCAGGATGGGATTCATGCCGTGGGCTAGCAAGAAGCCTTGGGAAGATGGAAGTCCCTTGTGGCTGGGGATCCCCATGGTACGTGGCACCAGAGAAGCTGTCACCTGGCTGTGACTGCAAAACCCTCTCTCATTCTGCTAACAAGACAGCACCTATGAGAAGCTTGACTACAAAGCATTTTTTTTTTTAAACAAAAAAGGAATGTTGCCACCTACAGGAAAAGCTTAAAGGAAATGCGCCTACAATTTGGAGCCTGCCTTAATGTCACTGTTTTTTTTAAAAGAAGGACTGGGTCTAATTGTTCCAATGCTTCTAAGTAGGGAATAACTGACTCAGAGAAGAGACCCTCACTAACTGAAATTTTCCCGCAAGTTCATTGACAAGTTAACACAATGCTGGACACTCTACAGCCACTGGATCTATTATCACCCAATCTGAGCACTTGAATCACTTACTCTCTAAGCAGCCCATGCCTGGTGAAGGGGCTGTCAGGACAGCTCAGGAAGCCTGGGGCAGGGGGGACTGGCCTCAGCCCAATCCTCCCAGTACAAACCAGTCACTAGCTCACAACTCTCAGCAGGGTTAGGTCACATGTGTGTAGGGAAGAAGCCCAGAGCCAATCTGGGGCGAGGCGTACTTACGATGGGGCTGGCATTGATGTAGTCCGAATTGCTGTGGCTGTTTTCTGATTTCAGCAGGATCCTGGAGTGGTCATCTGCAAGCAATGCCAAGAGCAGAGGTCAGATCGCAGCATGGCCTTTCACCTGCTCAGGCCCAAAGGCCATGCCAGCGGCCACTTCCTGGGACTCTGCCCAAGCCCTTTGAATGCTCACCCTCATGACAGCTTGCCCTTTCCCACCATCACTCAGGATCCTTCAGTGTAAGAGGCACACAAACAGGGCAAGGGGGAACAGGTGCAACGTTTTTATTTGGTAGAATTTAGGGATTTGGACATTTTGCTTATGCAAAATTCAAGTCAGGTGTTCTCTGCAGTATTTTTGGTAAAGATTTATTTATTTTCATTGCAAGGTCAGATATACAGAAAGAAGGAGAGACAGAGGGGAAGATCTTTCGTCTGATGAGTCACTCCTCCAGTGGCCACAACAGCCACAGCTGAGTCAATCCAAAGCCAGGAGCCAGGAGCCTCTTTCTCCAGGTCTCCCACGTGGGTGCAGGATTCCAAGGCTCTGGGCTGTCCTCGACTGCTTTCCCAGGTCACAAGCAGGGAGCTGGATGGGAGGCAGGGTTACTGGGATTAGAACCAGTGGCCATATGGGATCCTGGCGTGTGCAAGGCAAGGACTTTAGTCGATAGGCTACCACACCGGGCCCTGTGCAATATTTTATATAGTGTTTACCTTTAACAGATGTATTTAACAACACACAATAAACTGATAAGATGTTCTTTAGTTCAACTTGACAATAGTGTAAAAGTGCACACCTACAGCCATTCTGCCTTTCACTGTCAGCTCTCAAGAGATTATGTGACTAGTCAACCCTCCATTCAAGGCGGATTAGACTAAGCAATGCCTGAGGAGTTAGGCTTCTTTGATTCAGGAAGTTTTCTGCTCACCACTGGTATACTGGGGACCTAACTCCACCGCAGACTGAAGAGCAGCTGTAAAAACATGAATATTCAGCGATGGCCAGCAACCAAAATACAAAGTTTTGGTTGACAAGTGGTTAAATCCCCAAGATGATGGGAATTTGGCCTCAAAAGGAGAGCAAGAGGAAAAGAAAATCCCGAATAAAGCAGAAACACACAGGTGGAGATGTTCCTGTGTCAGACTGGGCCTAAGGAGGAAACCCAACAAGAGTGGGCGATGAATGGTCCTTAGGATCTGTCAAGATGACATCCACGCGATCCTTGACTCAGTCGTCACTGTGGTCTGGAACATCCTGCTCCTGCTCACTGTGAGCCTTTTTCTCCCTTCTTTTCAAGGATTTTCAAATCAGGACCCTCCATGGGAAGTCCAGGGGGATTAGGCAGGGCAATGCTCAGCCTGGTAAAGCTAAGCAGAGGGCCACCAGGAGAGTTTGGCTCCAGCTGCTCCAGGAAGGCCACCTGCTCTCCTCTCTGCACAGTGCCTGTGGAAAAGCCAGAGTGACACAGCTGCTCAGCCCCGGCCTTCTTGCTCTGGTGACTGCTTTTCTGGTGATGCCAACGACACAGCTCTCTTCTTCTGGGACAATAAAGACAATTTTGGCTGCAGCCATCAAGATTCAGGTTTCCAGGGTGGCGAGTAGTTTTTTTTTTTTTTTTTTTTAATCCTAGTTTTGACTGTGGCACACCACTTCCCGCAGAGATCTGATCCCAGAAAGAAATGGCTCTTAACGATCGCAACAATGAAAGAGGCCCAACACAGTGAGCGAAGGTACTGAGCTTTGCTTTCATATGAATTTCTAAAATTTTTAAGCAACAAATTCTGGTGCTAGGAAAATTCCCTAATGGCTTGAATTCAGAAGGTATCATCTGTTAGAGACCAATATTCTATGGGATTGGACACCATACCAGCAGTCTTACTAAGATGAATGGTAGCCTTTGAGTATACTAAGTATGGCAAACTATTGAATTTGGTGATGCAGAGCTTGAGTCTGGCATCTTAGACAGCTTGGCCATCTTGATGCCCTTGCTACTGAATTTGATAAACAACAAATTCTAGGCAAACTCTTTGGAGAGTCCCATAGTGGCTGGAGCCTGGAAAAGTGTCTCTTAGAAACCAATGTGCTAGCAGATTGAACGCCACACCAGCAATCTTACTAAGGGAAGAAAACCCCAGCTTGCAGTCTGTCACTTCTGGGTATAGCAAGCTTGGAAGGCTCAGACCGTGTTGTGCACAGATCAAGGAGCACTCAGAGACCTCTTGGTGTCTCCTCCTGCAGGGGACAGCACCGCCCAGCCCTGCCAGCTGCGTGCAACAGTATGGTGGTAGCTGGGCTTCTCCTGGGTGCAGTGGATGAGTGGATTGAGTGGATGTCTACCTCACTGGAAAATTGGGAATGAGCTTCTTAATCCTGACCATGTAAGCTTGGTCCTGCAAGTGATGCCAAGGCAATCCACCACAAGCCCACACACCAGCACAGGGGGCAAGTGCCTCTGTAAAGCAGGCCTTTACAGAATGTGTTTCCCCTTGGTCCAGACGCCCTTTGAGGGCCACACTGAGTCAAGGACAAGGGCTGCAAAAACCATAGAACACCTTCACCTGGTGAGTGTACATTTAATTCTGCACCTATAAACTGCTTTAAAAATTCATAGTGAAGGTGTTGGGTTTTAAAAATAGACCATTCTGGGCCTGGCACCATAGCCCAGTGGCTAAAGTCCTTGTCTTGCATGTGCCGCAATCCCATATGGGCACTGGTTTGTTTTCTTGCTGCTCCACTTCCCATCCAGCTCCCTCATGTGGCTGGGGAAGCAGTTGAGGACGGCCCAAGGCCTTAGGACCCTGCACCCACATGGGAGACCTGGAGGAAGCTTCTGGCTTCAGATCTGCTCAGCTGTGGCCATTGTGGCCACTTGAGGAGTGAACCAACGGATGTAAGCTCTGTCTCTCCTTCTTTCTGTAAATCTGACTTCCAATAAAAATAACAAAAAAATCTGAAAAACAAAATGGATCATTCCGAATTTGGAAACCCCTGCAGCCACGAGAGGGGCAGGTTCGTGACAGGGTAGGCGATTGCTCAGTCAGCTGATCTTCATTTGGTTGGGAAAATTTCTCAACTATTTTGTGATCTACTTTTCCTCTTTACCTTTTTTTTTTCAAAAGAGATGTTACAAGAGCCAATGAGATGACGACATCAAGCTCTGAGCCCAGGAGTCCTCTCTGCTCTATTTCTATCCTTCCTCCAGTGAGTTACCGCTAGCCTTAGTCAACCAAGTTCTGAAAAATGCTAAAATGAACACTTCCAAAAATAATCCATGGATTGTAAGTGGTGGGTTGTTGCTCTGAGGAGCAGGATGAAATCTTGAGCTGTCACACTCTGTCCTGACCAAGTCATGAATCACCCCTCTCTCCAGCGTCTTCACACTGTATACTACCAGCTGCTTGGTTCCTCGGCAGTCTTCCCCAGGATCAGACTGACTATCACGGTATCACACTGCCGGTGTTCAGGCAACTCTTATTTTACTTAACAGAGGCCCCAAAGCACAAGAGAAGCCACAAAGCGCTTCCTCTGCGCAAAAAAGGCAAACATTTTCAGTTTAATAAGGACAGAAGAGGATTATACGCTGAGGTTGCTAAGATCTAGAATACAGATTTGTTGACAATTTCTGTGCCTAGTTTCTACACTGAGTCTTGTCACTTATATATAACAAAGTATATGTTTGGTGCTGTCTGTAGTTTTCAGCATCGCTATTCATCTTGGAAGGTAGCCTCCATGTTTTTAAAGGGGTGATGACTGTAGCCCCAAAACAGATTCTTCCAAGTACAAACTTCAGGAAGGCTGCTGCGATCTTTTACACTGTGAAAGGAAGGCAGAGGCAAAGGACTCACTGAAGGAGGCCAGGCACTCTGGTTTTCGCTCATGAGCAAACACCAAGAGTCTTACCTATGCTAGGTTTATTGAAGGTTGCTCTTTCCTAGCTCCGGTATAAACTACACTTATACGCACCTCCCTTGGAAACAAACATAACTCAATGAGCAGAATCACAGGGCAACAATCTATGGCAATCTAGGCAGTTACTCAATGAAGAAGTGGGTGTATTCTTTAAAAACTTACTTCAGAGCTTGCTTAGAAGCCAGGAAACGAGGGAAATTTATCTTTTAAAAAAACCTGGTCCTATAACTATTTGAACTACTCTCTTCTAATAAGATCTACAACCATAGGTCTTAACAGGGAGGGAGGGAGAAGACCCCGTGTCCCAAAGAAGCTACAAGGAACTCTCCAGGGGAGTTTCTTTACCCAGCTCCCTTCATGCCTAGTAATACTCGTCCAGCAATATTTCAAACTCCTCTGATACTCTGCATTTTCACACAGATCATCTTTGATCTTCCTGGATCCCTGTCCCACCGATAAAATAGAAAGTGTTTTCCCCATTTGAAGAAACCAAGTCTTAGAAAGGTCAGATAAGGAGTCTGTTTAAGGCCACAAAACCAGTGGGCAAGCACAGGTTTTTAACTCTGAGCCTGGTCACTTGCTAACCAAGTGAGTTTTCCTTTTTCAAGATTCATTTATTCTTTGAAAGAAGAGAAAGGGGGAGAGAGGGACAGAGAAAGATAAATCTTCCATCCACTGGTTCGTTCCCCCAGATGGCTGTAGCAGCCCAGGCTGGCCAGGCTTCAGAAGGCAGGAGCTAGGAACTTCATTCAGGTCTCCCTCTTGGCTACAAGGGTCCAAACACTTGGATTATCATCTTCTGCTTTTCCCAGACCATCATCAGGGAGCTGGATCAGAAGTGAAGTGGCTGGGGCACCAATTAGCCACCATACGGGATTCCAGTGGTACAGTCGGCAGTATTGTCCACTATGCCACAATGCTGGGCCCTAATCAAGAGGTATTTGAAAATCACTCACTATGTTTAAGTGTCAGATTTGTCACCCAAAATGTAGGATGATGGTGTCTGACTCACAGGATTGCTATGGTAAGTGGCATATACAAACGGCAGGAGGCAAGGGTTAGGAACACATTCAAGATTACAGATGGATGTTAACCTCCCAATGCATCCCTGCTACGTTGTACTGTCAGTAAATACAAAATTATTCTCATAAATGCCAACAGG